TTTTAGCGCACAGTCAGTCCAGTCACTACCCAGGCACTACCAAGATTTTAAATGCTTTTAACTATTTTTATGTTTTAAACGCTGTAGTCAATTTACTTAGAGATAAATAATGTAAATCATTTTTATTATTCTTACTGTATATTTTGTAGAGTGATTTTAAGGGACACTATTCTTATTGTTATTGTAATCATATTCACACGACCCCACAAGCCCCCAGCTTTAAACCTCATCGTGTTTAAATAAAGGATATGATTGATTGATTGATTGAAACGTTTTACAAACACTCTGTATATGACAATCCCAGTTTAAGTTTTGATCAATAATGTACCCCCAGCGTCACTGTAGAGAAATTACTAGCGGTGAACCTTGTACTCCATGACTAAAGATGATATAACTTCCAACTCAATCTTTTGTGATCATTTTTATTTATCATAGTTAAAAATTACATAGCAAAAATTGACTTGACAAGATATCTGATGATAAGCCTCTGCGCTAAAAATAACTGAGTTTCGGTCTTAAACCTTGTTACCGCCGTAGAACCATAGTTTCTTTTTTGTTTTTGTTCTCTTTTTATGGATTGGACATTTACTTTGATATTACATGATGTGTGAAATGAGAAACTTGTAACCCGGATGAAAAAGCACATGTTTTGGAGTAGAGAGGAAGGTTTTGTGGCTTTGCAAAAAATTGGCAGAGTTTTAGAATAAACTGTGGTAAACAAGTTACAAATTCAATGATGTCGATTTGAAGTCTCGGCATCAAACCTATCACAGAGATGATTCAGTTTATCAGTTGTTTCCGTTGGAAGGCTTGGCACATGAATAACCAGTTAGAACTGGCGGAATCAGGATTTTGATACCAACCATGTGTAGATACAAATACATTTTAGTAGAAAATAAAAGCTGGAAATTGACCTATTTGTGCCGAGGTGCCATTACCTTCCGTCACAGCTCTAGAGTTGAAAGTAATTTGCACTCCTTCTGCTTCAACAAACTTTAGCCCACTCTGTCCGCACGATGAAACAGCACCGTTGATAAGTGACTCTACCTTATACTGCTTATTTGCTTCCAAGCAAATCAATTTATTAAACAAAACATCAAAGCCATAATAATTATCATTCTCGTCCTTTTTTGACGCAAATGTTCCCCATCGTTTAGCAACAGTTGAGTTAGTTGCTGTATCTTTGATCTCAGTAGAGACTGTGTACTCGCCACCTGGGGAACCAAAATGCTGTATTCCAAGCAACTTAAGAGGCTTGTTTATGGAGAAGTAAATACTGTCAGACAAGCCACTGTAATTCCAACCTGCCTCAGAATAATTTTTGAATCTGTTGACTCGAAATTCACGCATCACCTTCCTTGCTCCCTGTAAAAATAGTAAAGGGCTTTTCAAGACATTGCTGTAGTATTTAATCATGTGGCTAGTCTCCTTCCGAGATAAAATAGCAGTGTCGTCAACTACAGTAGCAAATTCCGTTTGTGACATTAACGGAAACCGAATTGCTTTCACGATTTCCTCGCCAAGAATTCGTCTCTTCGTCTCTCCATCAGGTGTGATGCCCTGCCGATGTCCGTCTTTGGTGGCCCAGCGATCAACAGCTTTGAACAATTCCACTTCCTTCACGCACAACACTTTTCTCTTCACAACGGATTCAACGATAGATCGCTCAACAGTGACAAATTCGTCTGACGTTACAGCTTCCTCTGTCTGCTCTTCAATCACTTTCCAGCATCGATCTTCCAAGTATTTATCTTCAAACTTCTGAGCGTGTGGCAGAATGCTAAACACGTTTACTGCTGTCAAACTGTCGCGGAGATATTTTGTGCATTTCTCAGCGAGTGAAGGCACCATGTACTTGTTCGCCAAGTACATGACTTGCATCACATTACTTCCGCTTAAAGTCACTTCGTCACTGTAGAGGAAACGTAACAACTCCAAGAGACCCTCGTAATCACAGTCAGGCAGTTCGATAGAGTCTTTAGTCTCCGCCATTTGACCATAGAACATGGCAAAGAACACAGGACTACTNATCAGTTTATATCATTTCTGTAAGAAGGAGTTTGATATTTAGCCGTGAATTTACCTCACAAAATTAGAGCGGAATTTCTTTTAAAGAATCATATTGTAGAAATGGTTGTCGGAAATAAGATGTGAGTTCAGTTTAAAATTGTCATTAATGTCGCCTACACCTGGTCAACATTGGGGGAGGGGTTATCAGATAGGAAGATGGCGAAGGGGGGGAGTGTAAAAAAGTTTGAATTTCAGATTTTTACTCGCTAACGGAAGTAAACGTATTTTCGAATTGGTATTGTAGGGGCCAGTTACACTTGGTGAAATAAACACAGTAACTCGTTTGCGTCCAGATCCTTTGTAGTGTAACAACAATTACAACGATTACATCTCACCGGTACGAAGTTATTGGACTTGTTACTTCTTCAAAACTGACAAAAACTACCAACAACGCACACGGCGTGGGAAACTGCGCCCTCGATACATGTCAACGAGAGTTTGACTATATGTAAACTTAACGAATCGTACAGGTATTGACACACTTCCAGAAGAGTTATGATCTTTTTTAATCTCTTGACACTTCCCATAGCACTGAAAAGGAGAATCTGTTTAACAATGAAGAACTTATTGTTGACTTGAATGGGTAATCAGTTCCTTTATTCTCGTGATCTTCGTTAGAGAATTTTGGTTTGTCACGAAGAAATTTAACCTGATCTCCGCCTAGGGCTCTGCAATATTTTTATGATCCTCCCCTCATTGACGGTTAATTGGCAGCGAATTTTCTGCCCCTATAGTTTCCCCCTTTATACTTCGTTTGCGACGACTGATCCCCCTTCCGCTCCCCTTGAAAACCATGTAATCCTCCCCGAAAAAAACCCACACTCTCCCGGAAATAAAAAAATTTATAGCAAATTCTACAGTGTGACAACATAAAGAGAAGTTAAAAGATTGTCGCTTCTAAGAATTGAAGGGTTTGTGATAAAGCGACTGAAAAAGCTGTTCATCGTGGAGAAATTACCGGGGGGTAAACCTTGCACTCGAAGATCAAATATGATAAGCTAAGATTTTCTTTTGTGATCATTTTTATCTATCATAATAAAAAAACAAATGGCAAATATTGAGTGGACAGGCTGTATGATAAGTATTGTGCTAGAATAACTGAGTCGTGACCGTGACACCCTTTACACCCAAACGTGGGTATCCATGCTCCCCATACTCTTCTTTATAAATTTCTTTTATTATTCAACTATGTTGGCGAAACCTCTCGGCATTCCTCTACACGTATGCATGGGCCCTTGGTTAGTGATAAGACCTCTCCTATCTTTAGACATTTTCAAAGTTATAAACAATACTGCACTTTATGTTCCAATGATTGCCTCCATTAACTTCCAATCTTCCAAACCTTCCAATTAAACGAAATCGGCATCTCACTCCATTTAATGTTTTAATTAAAGTTTA